CATTAACCTTCAAAATACTATTATTTATCCTATCATTAATCATACTTAATTTGTATATTCCCATATTCCCTTTCCTTCCAATCTCTTCCTTTACATCTTCAATCTTAACTAAAACCAAATAAGAGGTATATTATTGTTAATAATATCATTGGATATCTAACCTTCTAGTTGAAGTAAATAAAAATGAACTATTTTATCCATATTACTTTTTTTACCTAGGGTTCCACCCGCGGAGGTCTGGGGATAAATCCATCACCTCCCGAGGTGTAGATTTTGGTGGTGATCTGTCGGGGGTAAATTCAGCTACCCCCGTGGGCCTGGGGTTAAGTCCGGCAACACCCCGGACCATGGGGGGCGGGGTTGGCTTCTCGGGGTATGGTCTGCCATACTTGGGGACATGGGGATAAATTATGCAATCACAGAGGCCTTGGCGGCGGGGATGGCCGCTCGGCTGGAAGTCCGGCCACACCCGGGAGCCAGGATGTAAGTCCGGCCATTCCCGGAGAACTAGGGTTGAGGGTAATCTCTCGGGAGTAAATCCAACTACACCCGTGGACCTGGTGACCGGGGATTGCCTACGTGTGTAAGTCCGGCCACACCCTGCGACCTGGAGGTAAATCCGGTCATACCTATGGGTCTGGGCGGAGGAGGAGTCCTCTCGGGGGTAATTCCGGGAAGCCCCGGGGGCCTATGGGAAAGTCCCCCCACCTGGAGCCTGGTCTTCGGGGGTGGACTTTCGGGGGCACATTTGGTCACTTCCAATGGCCTGCGGGCCGCGGGTGGCATCTTGGGGGGTTGTTCGGACACCAACGTGGGCCGGGGATAAATCTGGCCACCCTTGACCCATATATGGTCTCTAAACAGTAAATCCGTCCACTTTCGGAACAGATACGACTTCTAAACGGTAAATCCGCCCTTTCATCCCAGTTATGAATTCTAAATGGAAAATCCTGCCACTTTCGACCCAGATATGGCCTCTAAACGTTAAATCCGGACCCTTTCGATCCAGATGTAATCCTAAAACGATAAATCCGGCCACATTCTCCCCAGATATGTGTTCGAAACAATAAATTCGGCCACTTTCGGTCCAAGTATACGGCTTTAAATTGTAAATCCGTTCACTTTGGGCCAGATATGGCATTTAAACATTAAATCCGACCACTTTCGACCCAGATATGTCCTCTAAACGGTAAATACCGCCACTTTAGGCTCTGATATGGCTTCTAAATGGTAAATCCAGCCACTATCAGTCTAGATCTGGCCTCTAAACGGGTAAACCCAATAACTTTCATCTCAGATATTCCTTCTAAACGTTAAATCAGGACATTTTCGGCCCATATATGGCAGCTAAACGGTAAACTCAGCCACATTCGGCCCAAATATGGCATCTACACTGTAAGTCCGACCACTTTCTGCCTATATATGTCCTCTAAATAGTAAACTCTGCCACTTTCGGCCCAGATGTGATCTTTAAACGGTAAATCCGTCCAATATCGACCCAAATATGGCATCTAAACTGTCAATCCTGTCACTTTCGGCCCAGGAATAGCCTCTAAACGGTAAATCTGTCCACTTTCGACCCAGATATGTCCTCTAAACTGTAAATCCATCCACTGTCGGACCCGATATGCCTTCTAAACGGTAAATCCACTATCGGTCCAGGTATGGCCTTTAAACGATAGATCCAGCCACTTTTGGTGTGATATGGCCTCTAAACGGTAAATCTGATAATTTTCTGACAAATATAGCCTATAAACTGTAAATGCGACCACTTTCGGCGTGACATAGACTTTAAATGGTAAATCCGGGGTTTACCGTTTAGAGTCCACATCTATTCGGAAAATGGTCCGATTTACCGTTTAGAGGACACATCTGGGTCGAAAGCGGCCGGAATAACCGTTTAGAGGATATGTCTGGGTCGGAAGTGGACGAATTTATCGTATAGAGGCCATTTCTGGTCCGAAAGTGGCCTGATTTACCATTTAGGTGACATACCTGAGCGGAAAGTGGCCGGGTTTATCGTTTAGAGACAAAGTATTGGCCGAATATGGCGGGATTTACCATTTAGAGACCATATCTGTGCTGAAAGTTGCCGGATTTATCGTTTAGATGAAATATATAGGCCGAAAGTGGCCGGGTTTATCGATTAGACGCCATATCTAGGCAGAAAGTGGCTGGATTTACCGTATAGATGCCAAGTCTGGACCGAATATGGCGGTATTTACCGTTTAGCTGCCATGTATGGGCCAAAAGTGGCCGGATTTACCGTCTAGAAGATATATACTGTCCGAAAGTAACCGGGTTTACCGTTTAGAGACCTAATCTGGTCCAATGGTTGCCGGATGTACAATTTAGAGGTCACATCTGGGCCGAAAGTGACCGGATTTATCGTTTAGAGGCCAAATCTGGGCCGAAAATGGCGTAATTTACCGTTTAGAGGTCACACGTGGGCCGTAAGTGGCTGTATTTAGCGTTTAGCTACCTTATATTGGCTGAAAGTGTTCGGTTTTACCGTAAGATGCCCTATCTGGCTCGATAGTTGCCGGATTTAGAGGACATATCTGAGCCGAGAGTGGCCATATTTAGTATTTAATTGCCATATCTGGGCAAGTGCCGCAAGTGACCGGATTTACCGACCATATCTGAACCCATAATGGCGGGATTTACGATTTATCTGCTTTATATGAGACTAAAGAGACAGGTTTTTCCGTTTAGAGGCAATATCTGGACCGAAAGGATATATTACTAATATTTATTAATTATTCTTTATTAATTTTAATTATTATTTTAACAATTATAGGTTATATATTTATATTTATAGAGTGATATTCTAATTCTATATATTCTTTAATTGGGGCTGTGCGAGCAAACTATTTGACAAACTTCATCATTTGAGATTAGTGTAATTATAATTTGTTTGTTGTTGATTATTTTAAGGTAAAGATATTCTTTTTTGGATTTTATGAAATGGCAAGTGTATATATGGTATGGGTTAATGTTAAGCTCATTATTTTTGATATTTTTTGTAAGAGTGTTAGCGGAATTGAACGTAGGCCGATAGATTTTGTTGAGAGTGAGTCAGAATTAGTTCCAGGATTTAATAAGTTAAGGATTTTAGAAGGGTTTTTACTTTGATTTTTATAGCTGAGTATGATATGATTATTTTTTTTATGTATTTAATAGTGGAAATATTTACTAATTTAATTGGATTATAATGATTGTGGTTATATATTAATTTGATAGTATTTTTTAATTAATTTTATATGGGGTTATTTTTAATTAATTTAATATGGGGTATTACCACGAATGCGATGAGTTAATATATTTGGGTTGAAAGGTTATTTTACCTTTTATTTTAAATTTTATGATTTATATTTTGATATTCAAGTTTATATTTGTATTTATGTAGGAAGGGATTTAGTAAGTTGGGGATAGGAGAAAGAATAAAAATAATATAACGGTATTTTAGAAGTAGTAATTGAAGAGATTAATTAAATGTGTGTGTGTGTGTGTGTGTGTGTGTGTGTGTATGTGTGTGTGTGTGTGTGTATATATATTAATTTAAGTATTACTGAATATCGGGGTTAGTATTTTTGATTGAAAGATTATTTTGGGAAATAAGGAAAATTAAAAATTAAAATGATGTATTTATATTATATGATAAAAGTTAGGGTGTAGGTTAATGTAAATTGAATTATTTGAGAAAATTGAGATAAGTTGAGAGGGTAATAAAGAAGTTTGAGTTATGTTATATTTATATATGATATTGTTATTGTAAAATTAATCTATAGTTAAAATAGATAAATAAAAATATATGATGCGAAGTTGGGTGAAATTAGGATAATTAGTAAAAATAAAAATAATATTGGTATATAATAATAAATTAATAGAAATTTTAAATTTCTATAATATGTTTTCAAAACATAAACTTATTCAAGATCATTAATTATTAATTGAAATATAATAAAGTTATGTTGTAAATTAT